TGTGAAGGTTGAGGATAAAGAAGGAAGAGGCGTACAACCCAAAGAACACCTTCCCCACACTGAAACACGATGGTGGGAGTGTTATGCTTGTGATCGTTTCGTTTGTCTGGAACTGAGAATCCCATCAAGGTGGAAGGAATCATGAAGAAGGATATCTGCAGATTTTGGGAAAAAAACAAAACAAACCTGTGGCAGTGAGCACCAAAGCTGAGATCCTCCCTTTGTCTCCAAACACCACAACCCAAAGCACACATCTCTCCTGGTGGAGAACTACCTCCAGACAAACAAAGTGACTCTTCCTGACTGGCCTACATAGAGCCCTGACCTGAATCAAAATTTTAAATCTGTGGGATGAACTAAAGACTAAGATCCATGCCAGAAAAACATAAAATGTGGAGGAGCTTAAAAGATTCGCAAAGGAAATATGTAGTTGTTGGAAACTACAGCAAATGAGTGCAGGCTGTTATCCAGCAGCAAGTATATGCAACTAGCTATTAGCATGGAGGCTAATAATTTTGAAGCTGTTAGTTTTTGTTTTTTGTGAAATCATTATGTTTCTGTATGCAGAGTAAAATAATGTGAGCATCTATGATAATCTCGGCTGTTTGGAACAGCTGTGTTAAAAATGTCTTGCCCTTTTAAAAAACACTTGGCACGTATTTAAAATAAAAAGACGTTTTTATGTGGGAGGGTAAGAATTCTGTCCTCAAGCTCTTCTTCTATTCTTCACGTTAATTTCTTCACTTTCTTCCCTGCAGAGATGAGGAAGGTATTGCTAGTGCTGAGAAGATACTTCGTGGCCTGGGGCTGGACCCGTCGGTTGAGGACTGCATAGCAACTCGGAGGGTGTGTCAGATTGTATCCACACGGGCCGCACACCTGTGCGCTTCCTCTCTAGCGTCGGTGCTGCGACAGATCCGGGATAACAAAGCTGCTGAGAAGTTGCGTGTCACTATTGGAGTGGATGGCTCTGTTTACAAGAATCATCCAGAGTAAGTGGATCACTTCTGTTATGTTGGTCTCGCCAACACATTCATGACTTTGATCTGTGTCAATGGCACCTTTTACTGTAGCTGTGGAGTGGCTGTGTTTGTCACTTCAAATCACATTTTTACTATTCATTCTGTGTGCCTGCATGTCCCTGAGACAAAGAATATAAGAGCATAAAGACAAGTCTCAGGAAGGTGATCTCATTGAACAGCCACATATTTGCTCTGTGTGATTAGAAATAAGTCAGACGAAGTGGAAAATAAATGTGATAAATGCCATGGTTCTCCTTGTCACCTTAGCCACATGTTTTTTCT